AACAATCAAGTGGCTTGTATTCTATACATTATACATATAACAATAAGTATGGACAGATTCATTTCACCTGTTGATCCTTACAGGTATCGAACAAGACATGGTATCAAATGTCAATAATCATTATATTTCTGATACAACAAAACAGGAACAAATACAAATGATAAAACATTATAACCGGCTTTTAGATAACTGTGACGACATTCCGTTTGTCTGATTGATATATATTCTCATTTGATATGTACGATTAATCATTTGATACCTACACATTCAAAATCTATCAAACCATTAGAAAACTATCAATTCTAATTTCATTTTTCATTGATACTCTCAAAAATATATATCCTACCTACTGGTAATCTTTCCACTCTGAGACACAAGGCAAATGTATAATTCTTAAATTCCAGGACTGGATTTACAATAATAATAAAAAAAGACGTAAAATAAAACAAAACAAAAACTTATTTACGTACAACAACTTATACAATATACAATATTCATTGTGTAGAAACATCCACTATTTTAAACGGTAACTTGGTACCATGCAAAAATGATACAAAGAATGTTTCTCACTGTCAAAAGATCTCACCAGCAAAAGATCTACCTAAAATGATTTCATCATCAAAAGATCTTACCAGCAAAAGATCTCCCTAAAAAGATTTCATCATCAAAAGATCTTACCAGCAAAAGATCTCCATCAAACAAATAAACAACAGGGATATAAGTAGTACTTATATCTGATAGACACCAAAATATGCACTGGCTTGCTCTCGAGCCAGCTGGCTTAGAATGGTTAAAACTGTCATGTTATTACTAATTATCTAGTGCATCAAATGACATTTTAGAAAATCTATGAAACAGTTTTGATGGTCACATATATAAACCCCTGAATGATGTGACAGCTAATCAGTGTCCTGTGTTGTTAATGACAGACACTATTATGGCTAATCATAGTAATGTACACAGATGACTTCATTGTCATATGATCATTTTAAGATTAAGTTGAAGATAATTTGTGATCTCTGTAATACCTTGTCAGACATGATGTCACCGGAAGCTTTTAACATTCCTCCATTCCATTCATAACACTATATCTGCCAATTACTGGCATTGACACCATACATCCATTGTAAACAAATCATTGGTTATTGTCTCATAACTGCCACTGGCATCAGAATAAAGCATTGTCAATAACATTAGATTTAAGTGAATATAGGCATTGATACAAGTATTGGCATTCACGGATTTATGAATGCCAACTGGACTAGAGCAAATTTGTCATGTAACGCTTTGTTCTTCATAGAATTTTCCTTTGTCCAGTTTGAATTCGTTAGACCATGAATGCCACCTGAAAGAAGTTCAGTGCTTAAGTATTGACACAGTATAAGCACAAGTAATAGTTTAAACAAATTCTACAGTCCAATACTTTACATTCATCCTGTCATTATCATTGTACAATCATATACAGTAGCTAGGTGTTACAGTTGTGAAATTGCAGTTAACACGATGTGTGATGCATGCAAGATGTGTGCTTGATAAGGAAACAGGGCAAAGAGTTGTTACTGCACATCTGCCTGCATAATTTCCTGTTATATCACACAGATATACAATTCCCTCATGGTTCATATAGATCTAGAGATGTCTCAAGAATAAATGTTGGACATGAATGATTTATTTTCTAAATGTAACTGAGGCCATTACTGATTTTAATGTCTCCACTAGGATTCGAACCTGGGATCTCTGACTTTTTAGTCTGATGCTCAAATGATCAAGCTTAAAAAAAAGAAGTTCTCTCTGGACAAGCGATACATTATGGCTAGTATTTATTATGGTTACATATTTCTCTTCATAGAAAGAACTCAAGCAAGAGTTTCGTGGTGTTACAATGATGCTTTTGAAAGTAATGGTAAGTATTATTCCAGGGCCCCTAATTGGGTACGAATGTAACAGAGGTCATTATTTATTTCAATGCCTCCAATAGGATTCGAACCCAGGACCTCTGGCTTTCTAATATGATCTCCAACTGAAAGAACTAAAGAGAAGTTCTCTCTAGCTGAGCAGTATATTGCAACTAGTACTTTCCCTGGTTTACATAAATATGTAAGCGTACAATGAAATATATTTGTTTTTGTCTCTGCACTGAATCGTCTAAAATTTGTAGGTCTATACCATCAGAAGGGAAATTTTATTTGGCTGTATCATTATCATTTTTCTATCCTTTAGTAAAGAATTGGATATACTCTGGTAGGTTTTAAGTGTTGTGTTTGTTACGCCCGATACATAGCATGTATGGATCTGTCACATAAATTCCCGTTTATAGGTATATATTAATGCCCAGGGCACATCACTCGCCACTTCTTTAAGTGTAAAAACTATACATTAGAGACACTGATTACTGCAGGTTCTGGTTATATTTCAACATATACCAAATTCAAAATTACCTTCATAATCAACGATCAATGATCACTATTCATATGGGTGGCTATTAAGTCATAACTGTATGAGTTTTCCTTTTGTGTTTAATTTTTTATCCATAATATCATTGATCGGCCATTTTATACAAAACCGTACAAAATGTGTAATCCTGTGTAGTGAATGTATCATTTGTGTTTGCACAATTTGTGCACAATATTTTTGGTGCATTGTACAATACCACAACTGTAGAAGCTTTTAACAACTTTACATTTACTGTATAAAACAATTTACCTATATAGATATATTCCATACACTTATATTCCTTCTATTTTATACCAAACAACCAATTAGAGCATCTCATATAATCACATTCATAAACTTTTACATTACAAGAAAAGTCCAACTCCTGCACATATTGATACTTATACTGCTTCAATAATATCATTCATTTGTATTATTTAAATCATCTCAGAAGTATATTTTTTTTAAATTTGCGGGACAAAAGAAACAATATCTTTATATCTTTAAATTTTCAAAAACAGAAGAGGAAGAAAAAAAAATTAAAAAAATAATTAAAATTTAATCTGTTCTATCCTGGATACTAATTCTACTGCACAGTTTGGAATGATTTTAGATAGAATCATACAAAAGGTGAGAAACATTACAGATCCTAGTCCAATGTGTACAATATATCTTATAAAGTACCAACATGAATGACTATGTCACTCAGCATACACTCATATACAAATACAAACAAACCATCCTACCTTAGATAATCAAAAACACTATGTTGATGTGATTCAATTACCTATTAGCAATGTCCACAATCTTTAAATGTTCACACCTTCATAAATACATCCAAATAGCTTGGTATAACAATGTTGATACGGCATACCACATATCAGGTTTGTATCAGTTATAACATCAAGTAGTTACACACTGTATAACAGGTCTTTATCAGTTATAACATCAAGTAGTTACACTCCCTATAACAGGTCTTTATCAGTTATAACATCAAGTAGTTACACACTGTATAACAGGTCTTTATCAGTTATAACATCAAGTAGTTACACTCCCTATAACAGGTCTTTATCAGTTATAACATCAAGTAGTTACACACTGTATAACAGGTTTGTATCAGTTATAACATCAAGTAGTTACACACTGTATAACAGGTTTGTATCAGTTATAACACAGGTATTTATCAGTTATAACATCAAGTAGTTACACACTGTATAACAGGTCTTTATCAGTTATAACATCAAGTAATTACACACTGTATAACAGGTCTTTATCAGTTATAACATCAAGTAGTTACACACTGTATAACAGGTCTTTATCAGTTATGACATCAAGTAGTTACACACTGTATAACAGGTTTGTATCAGTTATAACATCAAGTAGTTACACACTGTATAACAGGTTTGTATCAGTTATAACATCAAGTAGTTACACACTGTATAACAGGTTTGTATCAGTTATAACATCAAGTAGTTACACACTGTATAACAGGTCTTTATCAGTTATAACATCAAGTAGTTACACACTGTATAACAGGTCTTTATCAGTTATGACATCAAGTAGTTACACACTGTATAACAGGTCTTTATCAGTTATAACATCAAGTAGTTACACACACAGGTTTGTATCAGTTATAACATCAAGTAGTTACACACTGTATAACAGGTCTTTATCAGTTATAACATCAAGTAGTTACACACTGTATGACAGGTCTTTATCAGTTATAACATCAAGTAGTTACACACTGTATGACAGGTCTTTATCAGTTATAACATCAAGTAGTTACACACTATAACAGGTCTTTATCAGTTATATACACAGGTCTTTATCAGTTATAACATCAAGTAGTTACACACTGTATAACAGGTCTTTATCAGTTATAACATCAAGTAGTTACACACTGTATAACAGGTCTTTATCAGTTATAACATCAAGTAATTACACACTGTATAACAGGTCTTTATCAGTTATAACATCAAGTAGTTACACACTGTATAACAGGTCTTTATAAGTTATAACATCAAGTAGTTACACACTGTATAACAGGTCTTTATCAGTTATAACATCAAGTAGTTACACACTGTATAACAGGTCTTTATCAGTTATAACATCAAGTAGTTACACACTGTATAACAGGTTTGTATCAGTTATAACATCAAGTAGTTACACACTGTATAACAGGTCTTTATCAGTTATAACATCAAGTAGTTACACACTGTATAACAGGTCTTTATCAGTTATAACATCAAGTAGTTACACTCCCTATAACAGGTCTTTATAAGTTATAACATCAAGTAGTTACACTTTATCAGTTATCAAGTAGTTACACACTGTATAACAGGTTTGTATCTATAACAGGTACACACTGTATAACAGGTTTGTATCAGTTATAACATACACACAAGTAGTTACACACTGTATAACAGGTTTGTATCAGTTATAACATCAAGTAGTTACACACTGTATAACAGGTTTGTATAACATCAAGTAGTTACACACTGTATAACAGGTTTGTATACACATACACACAAGGTTTGTAGTTACACACTGTATAACAGGCTTTCATCAGTTAAAACATCAAGTAGTAACAAGGTACAAACCTAAAATGATTGTTTTTTATAACAGTATGTTCTGTGTGTAGTCTCATATCGTATAAAATGTTTGTAACAGTTATGATATTCAGTAATCAGTAGTTTTTTTCACCAGAGTTTAAGTTTTGCAATTCTCTCCATAAACCTGCAGGGTTAATATTGAACTGGCAAATCTTTATTAAGAAATGATTAATGTCCTCAATTCCTTTACACTTTGACATTCTAGTTTTCACACAAAACACCATTCATGCAGGCGATATTAAACCCAATATACTGTATGTACATACACATGAAACATTCTCATCAAATCACAGTACAGCTAATAATAAGTAGAGAACACATTCAGGCATCACATTTCACATAGTGAATAATTCAAAGTTTCCCCAGAAAGGCTGAACATGTAAAATACACAAAGTCAATTATATGGAACACAGGCTCGGGAAATACTGATAATCAATCACGGCAAGCTAATTAAAATTAGACATGTAATTCTGCTACTCTACAATACACTGCAATACATGTATTGTAGTATATCAAAGGGGAATGGAACAAGTATTTTATTGTATCACAGAGGAACAGAAATTACATGCTTTATTCTAATTAAATTATCAATCACTGTCGCTGCTACTGGAGTCACTTAACTGGAGATCTGTTCCTGAAATAAAAAAATGAATAAGTTAAATATACAATGTAGCACGACTTCAAAAGATTTATGTCAATTATCTATATAAAAGCCTTTTAAGATATTATTCAAGATTTCGAAAATTATCCTATATAAATAAAGCCGTGAAACAAGAGATCCCACAGGGATAAAGGCACCCACCGCGGGTTTGGTCCTTATTTGATCTTTATTAGTTGGATTTTTATAACTTCGTTTTTATTATTTTCTCTGTTCATACTCTTAATTACATGAAATTTGAAAATTCCACAAGATCATCACCTGTCGATCATTTTGTTTTCCTTGTCAGTCCGAAAATCAAAAGAGCACAACTAAAGACCATGAGGAACCTTGTTATAAAATTTGTGAAAGATCCATCCACCGTTTCTCATTTAAAAATATTCACGAACTTTTATAGTCTAAATCCAAGATGGCCATCTATCGGCCATTTTCTTTATCTGATCAAGCTTAAAATCAAAAGGGCACTACTAGTAATCAAGGGGAGCCTATATACAAAGTTCAGAAAGAGCTATCAGTATTTTATTGATAACATGGTGTTGTCAAGATTCAAGACGGCTGCCTTTTTTGCAATCAGTCTCGAAATGAACTGTAAACAACTAAGATGATCCAATGTATAAAATCTGAGAATGATGCTTCCATTCATTAATTCTCCATAAATGATGATTAGAAACCATAACTTTCTAATTTCAAGATGGCCATCTGCTGGCCATTTTGGTTTTTTTTTAATCATTCGTGAAATGAGACAATGCACAACTAGGGACCATGAGGAGCATACATATAAAATTTGAGAAAGATCATCTGGTATGTCTAAAGAAATAGCAGGACTCTCACACCCCATTTTGGGACTGGGGCCCGGGGCCCTTAGAATTGGGAAAAATTGTGTCATTTTCCTTAGAATTGGGAAACTTAGGGTCTAAATTGGGAAAAAGAGATACTATTTTGCATTGGGAATGGGGCCGAATATCAGCCCCAAATCTGGCAGATCGAGAGCCCTGAATAGCTAGAACAGTAGTTGTTTAAGGAACGACTGACTTATGATGAAAACACACCAAAGACCACAGACAAATGGTGATTTGAACAGCCCACTATCAAATGTCTGATACAAGCATATGCTTGATCTATAAAAGTAAAGACATTTTAAAATCAGTCTGATACTAAATGTACATGTTAGCCATAAGCACTAATTATTACTAGTATATGTGTGTAAGAACACTTTGATATTGTAAATTGTGTGAGAGATAATCAAGGAGTAAAAGATTACAGACTTTGAAACTGTTTTCAAAAAACTGAAATTACAAATATACTTGTACTATAAGTTATGCATCTCATCGGCATCGATTCAAAATTTTGACAAAAGGCAATAACTCTGTTATTAAAGAGTTGCAGGCCCACACTTTGACATTGTCTTTGTATGACCAATGTATACACAAAGTTTCATTAGCGTAGTTTAAATTCAATCTAAGTTATGCTTCGTAAACAAAATTTAATACAAGGGCAGTGACACTGTAAACAAGAGTACCGTTGAAAACTGATGATTGCTCCCCGAAAACAAATTTATTGACAACAAGTTTAATCAAAAGGCAATATCTTGTAATTAAGATATTGCAGGCCCTGAATATAGCATAATGTACATTCTCTTAGTATGACAAATGTATACACCAAGATTCAATAACTCCTAACTTAAGAAAACAAGAGGCCCATGGGGCCTTAACGGTCAATAATCTGGGGATTTTAAAATGTTGCAAAAATGTAACAACACGTGTGCAGGACCATGTGTAAAACATCTGTACCAAGTTTGAACATGACCCACCAAATGGTTCTTGAGAGGAAGTCCATAATATCTTAGCCAAACAGAGGCCAGGGTGGCCATCTTGGATTTTTAATCCCCCCAAAAAAGTTAAAACACTTGCCAGGACCTTGTGTAGAACATTTCTATCAAGTTTCCCCTTTTTCTCCCTCCTGGGGCCCCTATTGGGGCCACACCCTTTTTCTTCACAAACTTGAAGCGGCTTCCCATGGGGATGCTTTGTGCCAAGTTTGGTCAAAATCCATCCACTCGTTCTTGAGAAGTAGTCATTTAATGAAGGTTTTTACATATGTCCCCTTTACACCCCTTACGGGCCCCAAAGGGGACATTATCACTTTTTAAAACATAATTTCATATGTCCTTCACTAAGGGATGCTGTCTACCAAATTTGGTTGAAATCAGTCAAAGTTGAATTTTCTACCCTTTTGAGCGCCCCCTTGTGGGGCCGTATTTGACCCCATTTTTTTTTCATACCCAAACTTTGTAGACCTTGCCATAAGGATCTTAAATATCAAATATGAATTTAATCTGACTTTTGGTTAATGAGAAGAAGATTTTTAAAGATTTACCTAATTTACCCCATTTTTCCCCCTCCTGGGGCCCCTATTGGGGCCATGACCTTTTTCTTCGCAAACTTGAAGCGGCTTCCCATGGGGATGCTTTGTGCCAAGTTTGGTCAAAATCCATTCAGTGGTTCTTGAGAAGAAGTCGAATATATGAAAAGTTAACAATACACAACGCACGGTGCATGACGCACACGACAGACAAATCATGATGGCAATAGGTCACCATGAGCCTGCGGCTCAGGCGACCTAAAAAGAGTTATGGTTCTTGTACGCTGCACTTCTCCTTATTCAGATCTACCTAATGAATCTTCATGGTGATACCTCTTACAGATTTTGTGATACAAAATTTTGATGGACAGTCGGATGAGCGGACAAAGCGACCATTTATATGCTCTCCCTTAGCAGAGCATAAAAGTGGTACCTGGGCCTCAAATCTGCACATCACCTTAGTGTAGCTAATGTACACACAACGTTGAATAATCCTTACTTAACTATGGACAAAGTTATGTTCCAGACATGAAAAGGACAGATAACATATTAACCTGTTTCAATTCTTCAAAATTTTTAGGAGCATCAAAACAATATATGAACCACATAACATCCTGGCAGAGCCATACTGAATCAAAGAAGAGCAAAATGTCAAATATTTCTTGAAAAATCAATATATATAAATATAAACTTTATTTATTTTAAAACAATTGCGAAACATGTTATGTCAACTTATACTAATCACTCTTGTTGGCCCGGATGTAAGCGTGCGAGGGGTCTTACTGTGGGAGGAAAGCGGAGTACCCCGGGAAAACCCACGTGGTCGGGCAGGTGACCCCTTACCTTTTCACGTCCGTTCCGGGAATCAAACCCCGGTCGGCTAAGTGAAAGGTGAGTGCGTTAACACTGTGCCACCCAACCACCCAGTAAAAATCAATATATTTTACAAACGACAAATTAAAGTGTAATAAGAAGTGGTCTCTTACTCAATAGTGAGCCGTAAGAAGACTTCATACTGCCAGTGGAGGACATCAGACTGGGAAGTGGCACACTGCTTGTACCTGCTGAAAGTGGATTCACTCAAATATTCAACTCAAATTCGAGGTATCTTTATTACAAGTTAAAAAAATACATATAGCATCTATTTTGGCAATGCCATTTTTTTAATAACTACAGAGTTGAATGGGTTTGAAGGTATTATGTGGCTGAAACATATTGTGGTGAGGTTTGGTAAAGAGCAAGGAATTTTTTTTTCTCCAAATTCAACTTTTTATCATCTTTAGGAAATAAGCCGATTAAGGCAAAATGTATTGATATCAAAAAACCTTGCTGATATAACCCACTATAACATCCAACATATTATAATATATAAATATTACTTCTATCTTGGCTACTTTATTGATATGACTTCTATCTGGTATGGGCTACTTTATAAATATTACTTCTATCAGGTATGGGCTACTTTATAAATATTACTTCTATCCGGTATAGCCTACTTTATTGATAACATATTTTAACAAACATCAGGTTGAGTACAGGAAAGAAGGAGTTACCTTTCTTGGCTGTTCCTCTGCTGGCCTCGTCACTAGAGCTGTCAGAATCACTGTCATCACTGCTATCACTTATTTCCCCGATCAACATATCTACAACAAGTTTATATACCCCTTTCACTGATATGTTCTGTAAAGTACAGGTAAATCATAAAATCCCTTATATAAACGAAAAATATATCAATTACCTAATTAGTGAGGACAATATGAATATCACCATATTTTCCCAAAATAGTTTCAATAAAGTGAAAAAAAAGACAAATATAAGTAGAGATCCCTGACCTTTGACCTCCTCTGTCTGCATTGGAGTTACAGATAGTGATTCTGTATTTGTTGAGGGACTGATCAGGGTGGGCGCTGTCACTTTTGGTTTCATGGGTGACACTTTCTGTTTGCTGCTAAGGACATCAACAGGGGTCAAAGGTCGTCCTGCCAAAGAGGCTTTGCTACTTCCTTCAATTCTATGTAACAAAGAACAGATAATGCAAAAAAAATCAACTACTTTTATTTAATATATTTGTATAATGAATTCAAAATGTTTAATTTATTTTTATCATAAAATTGCATAAATAAGGCATACATTTATGTGTAAAATCTAAATTGATAGTGAGTTTCACTACATATTTTTAGATCAAGCTTTCAATGGCAGAAAAATGACATGGCTAGCATTACATATCTCAGCCGTGAAATAAAATGACAAAATTTGCATATGGTAACATAATTCAATGCAAGATATACAAAAAAGAGATATGTAAGGTAAAATGTATAAAGCTATCTTATCAAACTGAAGGCTTCGTCTTTTCATATGAAATCATTTAGAAACAATATTAGATCTGTCCGCAAATGGATATAATCAGGCATACTAAGATAGGATATGGCAGACTAATATATGCTACTTTGCTTTCATGTATAATATATGATGAAGGTATCACAATTAATGATGTGAAATGCCTGCATATTATATCAATGTACAGGGTTTTTTCTCTTACATCATAAATTGAATTTATATTCATCAAACTATCATAGGCAAATATGATATTCACAAAATGTATTCATCTTTTTATACATGCAATTTACATCCCTGCCAGGTTCCATGTATGTATATAAGTATCATTGTCTGATGAATTTACAGAAGTTGTCAAATGTGACCTTTGACCCTTTCACCTTATAACTGATGATTATATATTGTATATATGTACAGACCTTATTATCACAGTTCTCATGATAGGACACTTAAACAGAACAGTAAAGGAAATCACCTTGGCTTTGTATATATTTCATATTACCTATAAATCCATGCTGAATAATGATGAAGTTTAAACAATTGACTTTCAATCCATATGTGTACATTTTCCAACCCACATACCCCCGGTATACAGATGGATGACACAGTGCAAAAATAACAACTTTCCTGGAACTTATTGAAGAAATAACAATAAAACAATTTAACAAAAATAAAGCTAAAATATTTTCATAAAAATTACAAATATGTTCAAAGAAATTAACTGATATGAGTTTTTTATTTATTTTTTTTAAGAACATGTTTTATGTCTTTGAAGCAACATATACAGTACAAACAAACAGGTAAAGCACTGGGCCTATCCATTACCAACAGCTGATCATGATCTCATCAGTATCGAGAAATAGAGAGCGATAGATTCTGATTTCATTTTGTCAATATGTATATAGAACCTACCTTGTCATTGTCATGAAAATGTGTTTTTATTAGGGAATTTGAATTATGAATTTTTACTGGTTATGAAAATATACAGGTTTTATGAAGATATCAAAGACATGATTGTGTTTCCCTGTTAGGTTACTCAGTATTCCTACAAAACACCTGTTTATACTACTAATGCAGTCCATACCTAAATCTACTAGACACATACTGCTAGTGTAAGATACTATCAATTTACAAGCACAAATTCAAACATGTTATTTCCATGAAATCCTTATCATCACCAAAATACATGAGATCACAGTTTATCAACTTCTGATTGAACTGAATGAATCTGTTTAAAACAAAATGTCCCTGACTGACAGTAACAACTTCCAGTCATAATTTCAATATTATCATAATATTAGGTAAACCACATATTTATCATATGTAAAAATAATATGAAAATGTACATATATTTATGTTTTAATATGATTATTCCATAGTACAGCCCTAAACACACGGTGACGGTAAAGTAAGACACTGACCTTGTTTTCTTGAGTTGTATATTATTTGTAAGTCTCTCCAGGGTAAATGTGCCAGTACTGTGGTCGATAATGAGAACACATTCTTTCGGACATTCACGTTTGTTACCATTGTACACGGTGTGTGTTGTACCAGATCCCTTCAAAAAAAAAAACAAATTTACAAAAAAGACAACAAACTTTGTTGAACATTCAGGTGCTTGCATACATTGCATACAGTTGTACAATGTGTGAACTGATAGCCATGCATATACAAATGTATGTACAAGAACAAGTTCATGTGTAAAACTGAGTCTACGTTACAATTTACCACAGACAGAATTGAGCAGGTTAAACTTATAACCAACCAAAACTACATAACTGCTTAATGAAAATAAAATGAATATTTAAACAAGTCCATGAAAAATCAAGATTTGTATTTGTTGCATGTAGTAATTTCTTTCACCATATAATTTTTTCCAAGTTACAACGATATGGTGTTTGCCAGGGAAATTGTACAAACAGCTATATTTTTGGTCTTTCAGATCTTTCTACATTAAAATAGGATTAACATGTACATATGATAGAATAGAGAAGTGTCGTGTACATGTAGAGATAAAATAAAAGTTTGACTAATAGCAGACAAAAGAAGATGGAAGAGATGTTCATGAATTAAGATTATATTTACCTCCACATGTGGTACAGTAATAGAGACCTGGTGTCCTTCTCCCACCTCTAGTAAGGAGTCCCTTGATGTATCTACAGAGGCTGGCTTAAAATCATCTGAAAAGGTTTTAGAGTATGGTAATCATTCTTGTGTTATGTAAATTTATCTAAAGTTGCACACCTTCCAAATTTACTGCTTCAAATGACAGTTTCCCGATTCTTACTTCCTGGCACTGCATTCTATAAGGTTTAAGATAATTTGGGTTGTCTTAACTCTTAATAGTTTCGGTTGGCCACATGCCAGTTGACAATGCATAAGGCATTCAATATTACCACAAAATCTAGAGGGTACAGTGTAGAGCTGTTACTGCTTTTAAGGGCCAAAATGTACAGCATTTTTGTAATGTTTAATCACAGGGACCGGCTACAATATGCAAGTATATACAGGATAAGAATATAAAAGGAAGCAAAATTGCATGTACATAATAACACTAAAGTTAGGACGACACTTCTTGGCCTTAATCTAATCAGGAATATATATCGTTGCTAGCCTCTGTGATCTTATCGGTTAATATGTCTTTGTCACTTTGTTGATAGATCATGTTTCTCAGGTTCGATGGGTGAAAGGGGAATTCTCACACCGTTCCTCGGATCGGTCAATGAATGTGATCGTGAGTTTACGTAAGTCATTTGATCAGTACGTGATACTACTTACACCTTATCGAGTGAAATGCTTCTTTACATCTGGGATCAAAACTTGATCCAAATTTCAGTTCGTGAACTTCGTTATCCACTCGCAAGGTTTTGTCGCTAGCCATGGCGTCAAACTCGTACTTCTAGTTAATGTCTCATTTTTTTTCTTCAACCATATGGCAAGCTTTCTACCGGAAGTGAAATTTGTAAACAGTACCAAATACTCGCGTCTAACACTCACGATCGTGTTCAATCTTATTGTCTTTTTATGGAAATTAAACAACTGACATTAAATTATTCTCTCTAAATTTTGAAACATGAACGTCGATATGAATATCATCTCATGAATTTATCGTAAATACGTTACGGAGATGAATAGAACTGTAAATAACCATCTGCCCTTCCTATACTACTTCCGGTACATCTTCATTTGTTTGATTCACGTGGGTGATAGATGGTAAGTCTGATATATCCAGCTGAGCTAAAATGCTTTATTTATTTAAGTTTATATATGTATCTAGAGCGTAACAATGGATTCTATCTCATATTATACATTACATGCTTGAAGTAACATATCAGTTCAAAATCTTTCTTATCTGTGAAACCTATAGAATACGTCGACGTGACCTATATTGACGGATGACAGGAGTGACATATACATGTACATGTACTCCACACATGTATACGTACTCGGTACAATTATTACATGATCAAAACTGGTCCAGATCTGATAAATCTTCTCTAGAATTCCCGGCCTTTTTGAGGTCCCTGAAGATATTAAATGAGCAATAACGTGTAAATTGTTATAAATTGGATTGCTTTGAGCTATGGAGCACTGTTCACTCAAAATGACACTCTAGCTGTGTAAACCAATTTGTATGTACCGAAACGACTTTTGGAAGTACCGAAACAACTAGGTAACAAAATAACGTGGTATCAAAATGACTAGATTTTTTTAAGCTGCGAGGGTTTAGGGACTAGCAAAGTATAATAACAATATTATGACTTTTATTCTAATCATTTCATAAGAAATTGAAACAAACAATTAATATGTTTACTGATAGCATCAAATGGATGCCGTAGTGCTCTTCTTAGCTCAGTTATTTACATTACTTACAGTATACTTTGAAACAATTGTACATATTTGATCATTAGACTACATACATCAGCATGTTTATGATGGGATATATGTAAATTTTACCAATTTCAGTTTATTAATAATCAAACTTGAATGTGACTTTTTCCTTGAATTATTCTGCTATCTGAATAATACCACATAAACATTTCTAAACATGTGTTTAAAAAAATGAACACATTCGTAAGCCAAACCTAATTTTGAAGTAAAACCATTAAACATGTAAATTTTTTTTATTGTTATTACTTCGCTTGATCGATTTGACATTTCACAAATTCCGTTTTCAGAAAATAATCTGAATTAACTTATTAAGTTGTAGAGCACAATGGAAAAGAATGTTTTCACTAAAAACATGAACAGCTGCCAGGAAAATGAAGAAACAAAAGATATCATTGGACATTCTGCAAGAGTTCTGACTGCAGATGAGAAACAAAAACTTGAGAAAGATGATAAGCTCGTCTCTGAATTTAAAAGGAATAAGTATGAAATAGATGCTAAGAAAAACTGGGATTTGTTTTACAAAAGAAACACTACAAAGTTCTTCAAAGACAGGCACTGGACGACCCGTGAATTCAATGAGCTCTGTTCTGATGTAGGAGAGCCTGGTGTAAGTTTAATTGTCAAGCACAGTATAAATCACAACATTGTTATCAGATACAAATATCTCTCAATTTTTTTTTCTTTAAATGCAAGCATGCATAGTTTATTCAACAATCTGAAAATAAGCACGAAATTTACAGATCAGAATGAAATATTTTAATGGCATTCCTGGGGGTTTCTGTACACCATAACAATCTATTGCCAGGTTTTGGTTCATGTGTCTCTAATACAAGCGTAACATTGTGACAGGTTTCAGTTTTAATGTTAATGATATTGTTTATTTACTTTAATAGAACACAAAGACAATATTGGAAGTAGGATGTGGTGTTGGTAACTTCATTTTTCCACTCCTCGAACAAGACTCATCTTTATACTTTCATGCATGTGACTTCTCACCTAGAGCTGTACAATTTGTCAAGGTAAGACAGCCAATATGAATGTTGTTCAATATTCAGGCAGTACAAAATGAGCTGTTTTAGTTTGTCTGGTGTTATCCTTTGTTCATACATATAGAATTTCATTATAGTTTTTATACATAAATAATGAATTAAAAAATATTCCCAGTTCTGTAATACTTTATAATCCTTTAAAACATTAATCACTTCAGTGGGAAGGGTAGTGGGGTTGGACACAAGACATCACTCAATATCTAAATTGTTTCAATCCTGAATCGTCTTTGGATACAAATGTATACACATACTCTAACTGGGGAAATCCAAATAATAAAACTGATAGGAGTGAGTCAAACACCAACACAGGAGTTCTTTTTATCTTTATAATGTGTATGTTATTGTATATCTAACTTCGATATCTATCTGTATCAAATGTCTATCAGGAGAACCCACTTTATGACCCAGAACGGTGTAATGCTTTCCAATGCGACATCACATCAGACCCACTGACCAATCACATGCCTGAAAACTCAGTTGACTTGGTATCTATGATATTTGTCTTGTCCGCCATTCATCCAGACAAAATGGCCGCTGCATTATCAAACATTGTCCAGGTATTTATCAGACTTTTAATGTAACACCATAAAATCATGTTGTCTTAACATTCAAATTTTCTTGATAGTTCGATAAGGGCTTCCTTTCTGCATTATTTATGTTCTATGAAATGTACTACAGTACTAGTGTAGTGATAAATCATATTGTACATTGATCTGCTTTCAGCGAAATGTCGAATACAGGTTTCAGTTAAACATACTAGCCATCAGCAATCCAGTTTTTCCTCAATTTATTTCTTGCAATTGCCTCTCTCATCTTTTAGGACTTTATACAATATACATTGTAAGTGATTCAGACAGAAAGCCTTGTTCAGGTGTTAATTCTTTATGTAACCATGCAAAATGTTTCAAAATACATTAATGATTTTAGGTACACATATACATCATGCATTTATCCGTATCTCTGTAAAACTTAATCTCTTTCATAATTTAGTAAGCTTTTTCCTCTAAATATTGGATAAGTATGAGATGTATGCGAGAATTTATTGTTTTTTAAGGTGTTGCGACCTGGTGGTCTACTGCTGTTTCGGGATTATGGACTGTACGACTATGCCATGCTGAGGTTTCAGTCTGGACACAAGTTATCAGAGAATTTTTATGTCAGACAAGATGGTACTAGGGCATTCTATTTCTCCACTGGTGAGTCAGAGAGACAGCTCCTAGAGAAATCTGCATTACAATATTTCTCATTTGAAAATGAAATATCATATCTTTTATTTTTGATGTTCATATGGTGATGTATTACATGATTTCAAAGAGGAAGTCAGGAGGGTTAGTTAAGTATATGTTTTGATTCAATGGTGATTGGAATGTGATCAGTTTTTAATGTTTTTGTGCTCCCTCTTTGTCTGTTTTTTTGTTTTTCTGTTGTCAACTTTAAACTTGCCCAAATATATTGTACCGTCAGAGGTAGGGCTTTCATATTTTGGCATGTGTGTTCCATGTGACAAGACCTATTCCCTTGGTACCAAAGTTTTCACCATGTGACCTTAACCCTGACCTTTGACATACATTTGAAAATTTAACCTGTGCCATAACTATTGCATTGTAAGCGGTATGGCTTTCATATCTGGCATGTGTTTTCCTTGTGAGAAAACCTTTCTGATGGTTTCATAAACAAATTTTTTTTTAAACATCTTTTGACATTTTACTAGTACAGTCAATGTTATCCTGATGTCCACAGTGAAGCCAAATGCTATTTATGAACTATACCTACTCTTACATGTACCTACTGGATATTAATGTTTATACTTAACATAGAATGTCTGATTTTAACCCACCTTGGTGAAGAAAATTGATCTTAAATGCTGCACTAAGATTTTGTTTTAAAAATGATTTCTAGATCTACGACGGAAAGAAAAGAATAAATGAATATGGTGATTTATTGTTATAGTGTTACATGATGACAATAATTGGTTACATGATGACAATAAGTGTGTACATGGAAGATTGTACAAAGGATTCACAAGTAAATAATAGCATTTGATACAAATCACATAGAAGCTGGAGTATTAACATACAGATTCCATGAGTTTATTGTAGGTTGACATGTTTCGGCTAGCTAGGCTAGCCGGCATCAGATGTTGATTCTCCATTTTCTTTATCAGTCATATTTACCATCCTTGATGGGGCTCTATTGAATAATGTTAGGTTTCTATCTTTGATTCCTGCAATATCGATATCCAATCTACAACTGAAGACAATCAGGTCATTGGTTCTGTCCTATTCTGTTAGAGTCTTATTTCAAATGTAGAATTAGATACAGATGAGCCAAAACAATTAAGTAAACTGTGTCATATAGCTGTTTTGTCTTTTTGGGACTTGTCAATGATGGTAAGAGCTTATAGAATTTTAAGCCTAGGAGGCAAATGATAGAATTGTTCGAAAAAAAATGTCGAAATCTAGACAAGGCGGCGCATTTGCCCTTAACCTAATAAATTCTATAACTTTCATATCTGATACATTTCATAATTTCAGAAGAACATCAAGTACTTGTGTATATTCTGGACCTTTCCTCTGTTCGAATATTAAAATGTGGCATATTGGTTACAGCAAAGCTCAGGACTGATAGTCCATCAGGGGTGTTTAACACCTGCAATGTAAAGATTGTATAAAAGACATACAAGTAAATAGCACTGTTTAGTGCAAATTATAATTAAATACAATAAACAATATATTTATGTAATTTTCACTCGCTTGAACTTTGGTTTGATTTTAGAACTGCTGGAGAAGTTGGTGACAGAAGTGGGATTAACAGTTTGTGAATGTGACTATATACGCAGGGAAACTGTCAATAAAAAGGAAGGACTCAGTGTGCCTCGGATATTTGTACAAGGCAAATTTATCAAACCAAATTTAGGGAAGAACTCGTCAGTACAGGACAGTGACCAGTCTAGTGCTTGTCAGACTGAATGTTGTACAGTACAGGACAGTGACCAGTCTAGTGCTTGTCAGACTGAACATATAACAGTGCCCCAAAATACAGAAGAAGATATAAAAAGTGACAGTAACACTGAACAACATCTTACAGAATCACAAAACACGGAAGTAAATGTGTCTCAGTTACAGATACATACAAACACTACAAACGCTGTGTCTGAAGGACAATTATGACGTCCCCCCACCTCTGTGTGTGGGACTTACAAAAATGATTGATATGAATTGATAACTTATTTCATAATTGTTTTAAAACAGATAAAACTTTATATATTTGGAGTGGATCAAGTTTTACAATGTAATTACTCTTAAACAGTTGATATTGAATTTCAGAAATTCACTGACAAATTTTTAATTCTTGACTGCATCTAATAAGGGAAAATGATTCACTTATATCGCAGGATGTACATTTTAAGGAAAAGTGAACTATATTGACCAGTACCTTTTGTTATGTTATGAACAGATTTCTGTGAATATTAAATCGTTGGTTTTATGATGATCAGAATTTTCCATTTGTTCGAGTTTTGTTATTTTTAACTTCCTGAAGCTGCTGTGATATAAATCTAAACATTTTTATTAGTATCGTGTCTCGAGTCTTTAGTAAAATGAAAAATTGTACGCAATGTATGCAGTTACTGTGTAGCTCTATACAGAGGGCATGTAACCATTCGTGTAGATCTCTATAGAAGGAAAAGCTCTATAGAGGGCAGTCGTTACCATGTCAGTAACTCTGTATAGAGGGCAGTGGTGACCATGTCTGTAACTCTGTATAGAGGGCAGTGGTGACCATGTCTGTAACTCTGTATAGAGGGCAGTGGTGACCATGTCTGTAACTCTGTATAGAGGGCAGTGGTGACCATGTCTGTAACTCTGTATAGAGGGCAGTGGTTACCATGTCTATAACTCTATAGAGTGCAGTGGTGACCATGTCTGTAACTCTGTATAGAGGGCAGTGGTGACCATGTCTGTAACTCTGTATAGAGGGCAGTGGTGACCATGTCTGTAACTCTGTATAGAGGGCAGTGGTGACAATGTCTATAACTCTATAGAGTGCAGTGGTTACCATGTCTGTAACTCTGTATAGAGGGCAATGGTTACCATGTCTGTAACGCTGTACAGAGGGCAGTGGTTACCATGTCTGTAACTCTGTATAGAGGGCAGTGGTGACCATGTCTGTAACTCTGTATAGAGGGCAGTGGTGACCATGTCTGTAACTCTGTATAGAGGGCAGTGGGTACCATGTCTGTAACTTTGTATAGAGGGCAGTGGGTACCATGTCTGTAACTCTGTATAGAGGGCACTGGTTACAATGTCTGTAACTCTGTATAGAGGGCAGTGGGTACCATGTCTGTAACTCTGTATAGAGGGCAGTGGTTACCATGTCTGTAACTCTGTATAGAGGGCAGTGGTTACCATGTCTATAACTCTGTATAGAGGGCAGTGGTGACCATGACTGTAACTCTGTACAAAGGGCAGTGGTTACTATGTCCATAACTTTGTATAGAGGGCAATGATTACCATGTCCGTAACTCTGTATAGAGGGCAGTGGGTACCATGTCTGTAACTCTGTATAAAGGGCAGTGGTGACCATGTCTGTAACTCTGTATAGAGGGCAATGATTACCATGTCCGTAACTCTGTATAGAGGGCAGTGGGTACCATGTCCGTAACTCTGTATAGAGGGCAGTGGGTACCATGTCCGTAACTCTGTATAAAGGGCAGTGGTGACCATGTCTGTAACTCTGTATAGAGGGCAATGATTACCATGTCCGTAACTCTGTATAGAGGGCAGTGGGTACCATGTCCGTAACTCTGTATAAAGGGCAGTGGTAACCATGTCCGTAACTCTGTATAAAGGGCAGTGGTGACCATGTTTGTAACTTTGTATAGAGGGCAATGATTACCATGTCCGTAACTCTGTATAGAGGGCAGTGGGTACCATGCCTGTAACTCTGTATAGAGGGCAGTGGTGACCATGTCTGTAACTCTGTATAGAGGGCAGTGGTGACCATGTCTGTAACTCTGTATAGAGGGCAGTGGTTACCATGTCTATAACTCTATAGAGTGCAGTGGTGACCATGTCTGTAACTCTGTATAGAGGGCAGTGGTGACCATGTCTGTAACTCTGTATAGAGGGCAGTGGTGACCATGTCTGTAACTCTGTATAGAGGGCAGTGGTGACAATGTCTATAACTCTATAGAGTGCAGTGGTTACCATGTCTGTAACTCTGTATAGAGGGCAGTGGGTACCATGTCCGTAACTCTGTATAAAAGGCAGTGGTTACCATGTCTGTAACTCTGTATAGAGGGCAGTGGTTACTATGTCTATAACTCTATATAGAGGGCAGTGGTGACCATGACTGTAACTCTGTACAAAGGGCAGTGGTTACTATGTCCATAACTTTGTATAGAGGGCAATGATTACCATGTCCGTAACTCTGTATAGAGGGCAGTGGGTACCATGTCTGTAACTCTGTATAAAAGGCAGTGGTTACCATGTCTGTAACTCTGTATAGAGGGCAGTGGTTACTATGTCTATAACTCTATATAGAGGGCAGTGGTGACCATGACTGTAACTCTGTACAAAGGGCAGTGGTTACTATGTCCATAACTTTGTATAGAGGGCAATGATTACCATGTCCGTAACTCTGTATAGAGGGCAGTGGGTACCATGTCTGTAACTCTGTATAAAGGGCAGTGGTGACCATGTCTGTAACTCTGTATAGAGGGCAATGATTACCATGTCCGTAACTCTGTATAGAGGGCAGTGGTGACCATGTCTGTAACTCTGTATAGAGGGCAGTGGTGACCATGTCTGTAACTCTGTATAGAGGGCAGTGGTTACCATGTCTGTAAATGTGTATAGAGGGCAGTGGGTACCATGTCCGTAACTCTGTATAGAGGGCAGTGGGTACCATGTCTATAACTCTATAGAGTGCAGTGGTGACCATGACTGTAAGTCTGTATAGAGGGCAATGGTTATCATGTCTGTAACTCTGTATAGAGGGCAGTAGTTACCATGTCTGTAACTTTGTATAGAGGGCAGTGGTTATTATGTCTGTAACTCTGTATAGAGGGCACTGGTTACAATGTCTGTAACTCTGTATAGAGGGCAATGATTACCATGTCCGTAACTCTGTATAGAGGGCAGTGGGTACCATGTCCGTAACTCTGTATAAAGGGCAGTGGTGATCATGTCTGTAACTCTGTATAGAGGGCAATGGTTACCATGTCTGTAACGCTGTACAGAGGGCAGTGGTTACCATGTCTGTAACTCTGTATAGAGGGCAGTGGTGACCATGTCTGTAACTCTGTATAGAGGGCAGTGGTGACCATGTCTGTAACTCTGTATAGAGGGCAATGATTACCATGTCTGTAACTCTGTATAGAGGGCAGTGGGTACCATGTCCGTAACTCTGTATAAAAGGCAGTGGTTACCATGTCTGTAACTCTGTATAGAGGGCAGTGGTTACTATGTCTATAACTCTATATAGAGGGCAGTGGTGACCATGACTGTAACTCTGTACAAAGGGCAGTGGTTACTATGTCCATAACTTTGTATAGAGGGCAATGATTACCATGTCCGTAACTCTGTATAGAGGGCAGTGGGTACCATGTCCGTAACTCTGTATAAAGGGCAGTGGTGACCATGTCTGTAACTCTGTATAGAGTGCAGTGGTGACCATGTTTGTAACTTTGAATAGAGGGCAGTAGTTACCATGTCTATAACTCTATAGAGTGCAGTGGTTATCCTGTCTGTAAGTCTATACAGAGGGAAGTTGTTATCATGTCTGTGGGTTGTTTAAGACGGCATTGGTTACAATTGCCATTACTGCTGGAGAACTTGGTACTTACAAAAAAAAGATAATCTGTGGTAGATCTATGATAACTATTGACAGATTTCTTTCATCAGTAAAACATTCCTGTAAACAATGTGTGTCATTTATACATTAAAATGTCACTAAGTGGTATTTATTGTCAAAATATATCATTTTAACATTCAAATGTCAAATTCAAATGCGTGCTAGTTAATATTTACGTTGCCCGTGTGTATATTGCTATCAAAATAATCATTCATTATCGGCAGTGTTTTTTGTTTTGTTTGTTTCTTTTATATGGGACTTCTATCATTCCCTCGACCATCGAAACCTGACATGTCCTTAAACGACCCAGGCTGTTAATAGGACGTACAGCAAGAATAGATTAAAACTCATCTGAGCCAATTCTAATAAACAAAATTGTCTTTAGATTTTTAAATCTTTGAGTCTGCATTTTTAAGTCATTATTTTAGGATAGATTCTATCATTGGCGATCAACCATATCATAAGTTTTACACACGTATACTTTTGAACAGTTTACGTTCACATACAGTTGTGTATTCAGTTGGAAGATTGGCTCTCCTGAAGAAAGAGGAGGAGAAGGAGAAATAGAAGAAGAAGAAAAGGAAGAAGAGGAAGGAAATAAAACTCATTTTAGATGAACCAATACAACAAAATACGGAAACAAAACATTAATCGTAAAGCCCCGTTGGAAATGTACACTGTATTAAGGGAATATGACCATGTGTTTCATAAGGGTAAGCATCCTCTGCTTCATTATCTCGGACCCTCCATGTAAATGTAGATCAGTCGTACCTTAAGTATACTGACGAACACTAAACGTTAAATCGTGGGGATATTGCTACTGGCCTTGTCTATAATCTCGAATTCTCATAAAGCATTTTTTATTTTAAATCTTGTATTATAAAAATGTAAAGTTTTCCACGTTCGGATATCAACATTAGTGACAATGACAAATGACTAATTGTATCATGATATTTTCATTATACTGCATTAGAGAATGACATAGCCATGCAGACAACGACACTACAGTGTCAGATTGTCAAAAAGAATAGAAAAGTGCTGGCTAGTTCTAATGGAATAACATGCTTATTCCAGGCCTTTTTTACTTCTCCTGGAATATACACGTGCAAATATCCTCCAAATGATGAAGTACGGATATTAACGTGTGCCCGACTTATACACACAAAATATCTTTAGCCTCCTAGTACCGCTGTCTAAAAATAATGCACGAGTGATCTCCCTTACACCGTGTCACGCTGAGGAGCACAGCGCGTCGCACCGAACAGCTTCATTTCAAACAATTTGACTTTGGAATATTGTCCTTTTTAAATGCAGTGAGATTTGTATATACTATTAGAGTACCACGTGGAGTTGTTGGTGTCCTATACAAATTAGGTTGCCCATCTGTCTGCCTATTCTTTTTGTGTGTGGTTGGGGAGAGGGCTTAGTATCTCTAGTTCTGCAGTAATTACCTATACGTTTTTACATAATGTTTTTTAATGAAACGCTTGCCTGGGATTGATTTTCCTATCAAAATCCAAGGTTAATGTCACTGTTAACCTTAACAGAATATCGGTTTGATGATTGCTTCTTCACACAAACTATTAGCTGTCA